AGAACACTGAAGCTCCTACCCAAAAAAGCTCTCCTATTTATAGTGCTGATCCTAAACAGTATGCTCAGGCTGGGACACTTCCCAAACATCTGGAAGACAGCGCAAATAAAAATGATCCCAAAGCCTGGAAAGAGTCCTAGTGAAGTAGATGGGTATAGGCCAATAAGTCTTCTTCCTGCCTTAGGAAAGATGGCCGAAAGAGTAATCCTTGACCGGATCCTGCAACTTGAAGCAGTCAAACAAAGAATCCCAAACTGGCAATTTGGATTCAGGAGAGGTCATGGTACTCCGGAGCAGCTTCACCGAGTGGTCAATTTTATCCTGGACGCTTTTGAACACAAGAAGTATGCAGTTGCTGTCTTTATGGACATAAGGCAAGCGTTTGACAGAGTCTGGCATGACGGACTACTATTCAAACTTAGAAGCGTTCTCACTCCACAATTGTACCAGATTGTCAGCAGCTTTCTGCGAGATAGAAGCTTTAGGGTTGATGTTGATGGTATTAAATCGTCAAAAAGACCAATATGTGCAGGCGTGCCTCAAGGTAGCGTTCTCGGCCCTACCTTGTATACTCTGTTCACAGCCGATATGCCCTCACATAGCGACATCACAGGAGTAAACCGGAACAATGTACTGATAGCCACGTATGCCGACGATACAGCCGTACTGACAAGTAGTACCTGCATCAATAAAGCTACAGAGTCGTTGCAGCAGTATGTGAGCAGTTTTGAAGACTGGGCGTGCAAATGGAACATTGGAATTAACGGGAGCAAATGCGCAAACGTTACGTTTACCACAAGGCCTTTAAACTGTGGTCGCATTAGCATGCAGGGCTCAACACTACCGCACAAAAGAAGCCACAAATATCTGGGCGTAGTGTTAGATAGAAGGCTTACATTTAATATGCACACCACGATGGTCAAAAAGTCTGTTTTGTCCAAAAGCGCAAAGATGTCATGGCTTCTTAAGCCGGCCAATAAATTGTCACTATACAATAAAGTGACAATTTATAAAGCAATACTCAGCCCCATATGGAGATATGCGCTTCAAATCTATGGGATTGCGGCAAAAACAAATCTCAATAAAATAAGAGTTGCACAAGCAAAAATCCTCCGGCAAATTTGCAATGCTCCCTGGTATATGCGTACCAGGGACATTGAAAAAGATCTCAGGGTCCCCAAAGTTGGAGACGTTATGCAAAAGGTAGCTGCTAGCTACCTTGCAAGACTCGAAGGCCACCCAAACCCTTTGGCAAGAAGACTTAAGAAAGCAGCCAGAAAAAGAAGACTGAAGAAGTGCCATCCACAGGACCTCCCTGCGAGGTTCCTATAAAAATGTATCAAGTCAAATTGCATGTGATTTACGTAAAAATTGTTATTGTTTGTTGATGTTTTTGTTAATTGTTATATTGTTATTGTTATGAAATTTCTGTAGTGTGTACTGTAAATAATTGTGTCTTTATGTTCAACTTGTTAAGCTGCCAATTAGGTAGTAAAAAGCCTGTTTAAATAAAATAAAAAAAAAAAAAAAAAAAAAAATAAATGCATGCGTATAGCACTCATTCCCGTGTATGTGTGTGTGTGTGTGCGTGTTTTTTTTTACATTTTTAATTAGGCACCGCCTATTGGCAGCCTATTTGGAAAATTTAATTAATGCGCATTTTATGTTCGTGTAAAGGTGGGAAACGCGTGCAAAATGTCTGCCGCACACCTGAGCCGTGGCTCAGCCATAAATATTTCCGATTAGCTCTGGCTCCGGCTCTGGCTATGCCTGGCAATAACAACAAACAGCAGCGACAACAACAATAACACATAATAGCAACAACAATTTAGCTACAACTGAATGAACACATGTTTTGCCCTGACGCTTTACGGGCGCCCGCCTAAAAGTATGCAATGTCTTTGGTTGTGCGTGCAGATCTTATCTGCCCAGCACACACACACACACACGCGCACACATACACAGCGCATGTTTCCTTTTTGTGTATGTATGTCCTGCCTTTGGGCACCTTTTGTCATCGTTTGCCTCGTTCCGGCTGCGCGATAACAAGCATCATAAATCCTTTTTGCCTCCAAATGGCACAGGACAACGCCCCCTGCGCAGCTGCCGGTCGCCCGTGTCGCACGCGTCTCCCCCTCTGAACCGCTACTCCTCCCGCTCCGCGCCATCATTTCGCATCTCGTGCTGCTTCTTTGTAGCCATTTTGTAGGCGTCACCAGCAGCAGCAGGCAGCAGCGGCAGGCAGCGTCTGTTTCGGTCTCTGTTTGTGTTTCGCCTTGGCCATCGTTTGTTATTGTTTGCGGTTTGTTGGCCACTCACGACTCGACCTAGCCACTCACCCACTCACCCACTCGCCCACCCACCCATTCATATATCAACTCTCTGGGGGCGGGCTTGTGTTAGTTTTCTTTAGGTTTCTGCGGTTCGCTGCGTTGTCTTAGCCAAAAACCAGATTGAATTTGGCCCAGAGTACAAATAGTTTCAGTTTCCTTAAGGCCACCATAGCGAGGAAATTTGTGGCAGATTATGAGGCAAACCAAGGAGCTTTAGCTGTTCCAATAATGTTAGCAATTCAAATAGATTATGTTAGCTTAACATTAATGTTATTCAGGAAATTAACACCTCTGCTCTCATGAGATCTTCATGGATTCTTGTCCACCTCGTGTGTTGGGGAAATGAGTTTATTTATTTTAGCTGAAGGTTTATACATATAATAATAAAACTCTATTAATATTATATTATTCACAAATCTTTTCGTTTAAACAACATTTAATTGTTTATTATTATATGCATTATTATTATTATTATTTATTTTTTTTTTTACAACTTATTGCTCTTCTTCCCTGGATAAATGGGCGTCTTATTATTGAATCTATTATTTCGTCATTTGGTTCATGCCTCTTTCGAGAGATTATATTACTTACAAATTTCTCTACGATTTCTTTAGTTCTATTACAGCAGACTTACGCTTACTCAACACAAAAATCCTGATTCAATAAACGGTTTCATAAAAATGTTTATAGAAATTAACTGAAATGTCTTAGCATAATCGCAAAAAGTTAATATTATATATTTAGCATACGTTAAAGTACATTTAATTCTTGTCACTGACATATTGAGCTCTATTTGAAAGGCCCACCGCACTTGGCCAATAACAGTAATGTGTTTAGTCCGGTGCATGATTAATAAACGGCGAACTTATGCATGGCTGTTTTTCTGTTGAGCTATGTTATGAATCTGTTAAACTAACATTGCCGTTAGACTGCTACAACAACTTCCCTTTGCAGATTATCTTCTGTAACTGTGCAGATAACATTGCATTTTCGGTTCTATTGAGCACATTTAGCATATTGCTTGGAAATCGAGTTTGGTTCATTCTATATGTGGGTATGTTCTGCATTTATCTGCAGCAGGCAGCGCATCGGCTTAGCTCTTCGCAGCGTTGTGTTACCCTCTGTGGAGGAGGCGACAATTTGCTGCCAAGCGTGGATTAAAAAGTTGCCAGCTTCACGGCATTTGCATTTATGCATAGAGCACCAAACACAACAGCCAAAACACGCACAGCGGCTGCTGCTTAGTGGAGCTGATAGGACGAAGGATATTCGAGTGGGCCGGCTTCAGGATACGGCCGGACGCAGCTCAGCTGCTGCCTGGCTGGCTGCCGACTCGGATGGGGCGATGAGGCTATTTGCATTTTAAATCTGCTCCCCCTCGCTGGGTGCCGCCGGCCAACGTTTCTGTTTAATAAGCCTCGCACGCTTTGCCGTGGCAAGCTGTTGTCCTGCTAGCAAGGACATGCTGCTGCTGCTGTCCACATGAGGCTAATGCAATCTTGACAACGCGTCCGTCATGCTGCTGCCCAGCCGAAAATGAGGCATGTCACTTTTGATTTGGTTTTATTGCAGGCAGGACGCAATTCTGATTTGCAGGCCATGGCAAGTGGCAAATTGCGAGTGGCAAGTGGCAAGTGGCAAAAGGCAAGGGGTATGCGGTGGGGGGGGGAGAGGGAAGAGGATGTTGTTTGGACATCAACATGGTGCCCAGCATGTGTGCAAGGCTAGAGGGAAAGGCTTCACTCGGGAATGTCATTAACACTGTGTGCAAAAGTGTGGGAGCGTATTCTGTGACACTAAAACGAACGCTATTGGAAAGCAAAAAGAAAGGCAATTGCCAAATTTTTTATTAATTTTCTGAACTTGTTTAGTTTTCATAATTCTTATTTTATTACAATAATGAATTTTTAAAATTTGTATTTTCAAACCTGATTGTCGTCGCAAATTGACGCGGAAAATATGTTATCGATAAATATGCATATAATAACAGTGCTCTGTTAATATAACAACATTGCCGCAGCCTAATAAACCTCACTCTGTATGTATTTCTTTATAATATAAATATTAAAATTATTTCAAAATAAATTATAAAGTATGGAAATAAATAATTTGTATATTATTAATAATAATTTAGTAACTTTCAGTATTACTCATACATTTATAATATGATTTCAAAAATTTAAACTGGCGCCAATCTCAATTGTGACAGTGCTGCAAAACACACGAAGTGGTTTTACGCTCTCGCTCTCACTCTCTTGCTGAGAGAATCCAAGTAAATACTCTCAGTTTGCGCAACGCACACAACATTCTGTCGCGCTCACCTATGCTCGCATCCTCTGTGAATTTCGGTCTTCGTTTTCATCTCTCATTCGCATTTCATTTCTCGTTGCGAGCGGACGTGTCTGATTGTTGCTGCGGTAAATTTGAGCGTTGCGCGCGTATTTCCCTACCAATTGTAGCTATTACATATTCTCGCTCTTCTCAACAAGTCGTGGGAGTCAAAAAAAGAAAAATAATAATAATAAGAAAAGAAGATAATAATTGAACGCTGATAGTTTATAGTTGATGTCTTCATCGACGCAATCGTTTGAATACAAAACATGTAATCCATGTGTGCAAATACCAAATACCAAACAACAACAACAAATGCAAATTCAAATACGTTTCTAGATGAAAAACAACAACAACAACGTCAAGTGCTTTCAAATTTAAAATAAAAGTGCAGTGCAACAACGAGCTATGTTCAACGAAACATGTATAAATCGGAATCGGCAACGTACAACGTACAGATACAAAATGAAATGAAAAGTTAAAAATAAATATATATGCCATCTCTCTCGGCGGCGGCAGAGGCAGCGGCATCGACGGCAGCAGCAGCAGCAGCGTCGCACAGTCAGACAGGCGCGAGGGACGTGATTTCTCTTGTGCCTGTCTGTTCTGCCTTCCCCCTTCGACCGCTTGTTCGTTTAGCAGCATCAAAAGAAGAAACAAACTATAGATATACATATAAATGTACACACGAATATAAATTAAGCTTTTTTGCTGTAGTTGTTAGATGTTAGTGTGCGGTGTTGCACAAAATGAGTAGACTTCAATAATCCCGTGGCGACGACCGACGTTCTTTATTATCAAAAATCAACTAAAGTACAGTGACATAAATTCTTATATCCAAAGCTAGCCCTAAACCCTGATTATGCTGACATTGCATATTTACGCGAGGCATCGCATTACTTCGGGCAACAACATTGTTGCGCGTTGGAGCCACTGCTGCTGTTGTGCAATATCCGCTGGGAACGGCTACATTCATGCTGACGGCGCGTGATCAATCTGAACATTTATGTTTTGCTGGTCGATTGTGTTAACTCCTCCCCCACTTAGATGAATGACGTCCTCGGCTTTCTTGAAACTGTTAATTAATGTTTGAAGATCACGTTGACGTTTGTTCCTCTGATGTCTTTGATAGAGTTTCATCGAAGCGTAGCAGGAGAGTAAAAGGATGGCCACGGTTAGCCCAGATACTATTGGCCTTCTTACTAGCCCTTCCTCTAGTTGAGCAATATCCCGCAGATTTTTTATGCTTATCTTCTGCAGGTATGGCAGGCTTGGTATCTCTTGGTGGTCTGTTATATTTAAGAGCGCAGATACCGCTGGTCCCGGGGATTTCCTCACGTAGTTTTTTTGGTTTTGGTATACGGTGTTGTTTACCTTTATCTTGTCGTCAAAGGTAAGGAGGAACGTCCCTTTTACCATCTGCTCGTTGACTGTAGCTGCTCCGTCGTTGATGATGATTACTCCATCGTCGACTATGGTTAGAGGTTCGAGGTGGCTGGGCCGAGTTGAACAATGTGCGGTGTCACCTGAGTGTAGCTGTTGAGCGCATGTTGTGTAGGGTGACTTCTTGCAGAACGTTATTGTGAGGGCTGTACTACAATTTCCTATTGATATTACATGATTTCCACAGTCAGCTAAATTGTAGTCTTCGGCGAAATTTATTATGATGCCGTTGTGTTGGACAGGGTATACGGTTAATTTTTTACATACTATGCTAGGCTTAGGATATCTTATAATGAAATGTAGAAAATTTTCGCTTAACAAAACTTTAATTTGAGATACTTCCATTAAGTCAGTAATAGTGATATTTATAGAGTGTTCATTAACAATGTTTTTTAAATCAGTGGAATCCAAAATGGAGGGGTTTACAATTCCAACCTTTGCAAGTGTTACTGATAGTATTAAGGTTTTTAACTCTGAGATAATTATTCTATTTCTTGTTAGCAGCGTTTCATATAAATGCTCTGTGTCTACTTGTTTTACTTTTGTGTTTTTTACTAGGAGGTTTACGGTGTCAGTTAGCTTATTAATTTGTTCCTGCATTTTTGTGTTTATGGTTATCTGCCTATTTTCTGACTCTACAAGTTCATTCTGTGTAAATTTTAGTTTCTCGAAATCATCATGGTCTGGCGTGCCAGCTACGACCTTTAGAACGGTGCCTAGCATATTGATACTCCTAGCATGTCTATGGTGGACATTTACTGTAGCTATTAATGTTTCTATATGTTGTATGTCTGCGTCTAATAACATTCTCATATGTGATCGGGGGAAATGGTTTGCTAATTCTTTCGTATTTTTTACTATTTCTGAGTATAGGGTAAGGTTGGTTGAGTGCTTCAAGTATTGGAAATCCGTCCAAATGGTTACGTATCCGTCCAAGATCGGTATGTAGTCCATGTTAGTATAGTCAGTCAATTTCGCTGTTATCGTTGTAGCAAAAAGAAGTATAGTCCAAATCCTAAAAAGATAAAAAAGGGAATTTAATGTTTTGCCTATCTTAGATTGTCCTTGTGGACCACCCTCCCTTTTATTAAGACTGTTGTCCCCAAGTCTGCGTCAATTTTGCCTTCGTTGTATAGTGGTGTCAGTTTGTTCCCTAAGCGTCTGTTTGTTTTTTCCAAAACTGTGTCGCCTATTTGGAATTGTCTATTGTGTCTTGTTTCGTTTACTCTATTTGTTAGGAGTTGTTGTGCCTTTTGAATTTTATTTCCTATCTCTATTTCGAGTTCTGGGGAGGATGAGTGGATTATATCGATTGGTCGTTTGTCCGTTACTGAGTGAATTGTATTGTTATATTCGATAGTTGCTTGAAGTATCGTTTCAACAGTGTCAGTAATTTTCCTTTGAGCTGTTAGGCATCTTGCAATGTCACCGAGGGTGCTATGGAATCTCTCGACTTGTCCGTTTGATGTACTATGGAGTGGTGGGGCATTTACGATTTGAATGTTATATTGATTGTTTAGCAGAGATTTTATTGTTTCGGACTTTATGGAGGGCTCGTTATCGCAATAGATCGTCTTGGTATGCCGGTAAAAATTTACAAGTTGTAAAATTGCTGATTGTATGTCAATTATTGTCCTTGAAGCGATGGGTTGAACAATTGCAAATTTTGAAAATTTATCTATGCACGTAAGGAAGTATTTTTTATTGGTTGAGTATATGTCTATGTGTAGTATTTCGCCCACATAGGAAGGTATGGGTGTTTCTCCAAGTATTTGTTTTTGTGGGTGACGATTGTACTTAGCTGTTTTACAAATTTTACAATTTGAAACAACTTCGTTCGTTAATTTTGTCATTTTCGGAAAAAATAGTCTTGTAAAATCTGCTTCACATTTTCTTGGGCTGCTCTGTGAGCCCGATTGTGTTCTGTTGCAATTATTTCTTTCTGTTCGTTTTTATCAAAAATGTCATTTACTATGTACTTTGTATATCGAAATGTTGTTGTTGGAAAAGTTTCTATTAGTTTATGTTGTATGAATGCTAATATTGGTAACTCGCAATGGATTGCATTTACGACATCTTTTTTGACTACATCGCAAACTCTTTTGATTAACGAGTCTCTGTTTGAGAAATGAATTGTATGTCGGATTTTCTTACCAAATAGGATAACTGTACGATCAGAGGCTATATTATTTTCTTCTATTATAATTTGGTTTTGGAAACAGTTGATTGGTTTGTCTGTTGTGTCTATGGTGTATGTGAGCGATATTTCGCTGTGAATTGTGGCTCTGTCTGACTGTACATCGTCCTCTAGGGCATGAATATTATGCCGTGACAGTGCGTCCGCAACGTAGTTCTCCTTCCCTGGCTTGTAATAGATGTTTGCGTTATATTCATCTATAAAAGCTTTCCAACGCCTGATTTTTGCGTTCGGGTTTCGGTCGGATACTGCAAACGTCAGAGGCTGATGGTCCGTAAAGATATTTAAATTTTTTACCCCATATAGATAATTTCGGAGGTTTTTTAAAGCCCAAACTATTGCAAGTAGTTCCCTCTCATTTGTTGCAAAGATAAGCTCTCTATCCTTTAATGTTCTTGATATCATGGTGATTGGTTTTCCACCTTGTGACAGAACTGCCCCAAGACCAGAGGATGAAGCGTCCGTTGTTAAATCAAACGGCTTCTTGTAGTCAGGGTAGAGCAACATTACATTTTCGGATGCAAGAACCTCTTTTAGCTTCTCGAATGCCGCATGTTGACTCTCGTCAAATTTTACTGGAATTTTTTTGGATTGTCCGGCGCTCACTTTGCCATTTTGGCCTTTTAAGATGTCGCTTATAGGTTTTGCTATAGACGCGAAGTCCTTGATGAAACACCTATAGTAGCTTGCCAACCCAAGGAATGATCTGACGTTAAACAAAGTTGTTGGTACTTCATAGTTACGAATCGCTTCAACTTTACTTGGACATGTCTTTATACCATTACTTGAGACTACGAAACCTAGGTATTCTACACTTTCTTTGAAAAAGTGCGACTTTTCTGGTGAAACTCTCATGTTGGCCTCGTATAGTTTATCTAGGACCCAGGCGATATGCTTGACATGGCTTTCCATATTTTCAGAAAAAATGATTACGTCGTCTACGTAAACATAACAAGATTTTCCAATTTGCTCTCTGAGCACATCGTCAATGGCTCTCTGAAAAATACTAGGTGCATTTTTCAAGCCAAAAGGGAGCCTGCAGAACTCATACTTTCCGCTTCCTACAGAAAAGGCTGTTTTTCTCTATCTTTTTCGGCAAGTAAAATCTGGTGGAATCCGGATTTTAAATCTAGTGTTGTAAAGTACTTTGCTGTGCCTAAGTTGGATAAAATGGAGGCTATATTGGGAATGGGGTATTTGTCATCTATTGTCTTTTTGTTTAGTTTTCTGAAGTCTATAACTAAACGTTTCTTTTTTCTTCCCTGCTCGTCGGTACCTTTTTTTATCTACAACCCACACGGGGTTATTGTATGGTGACTGGGACGGACGTATTATACCGTTTTCTAACAGATCTTGAGTTTCTGTGTTTACGAATTCTGATACGCCCATTGGGTATGGATATAATTTTGAATAAATGGGATTCTCGTCCTCTGTTCTAATAGTTGCAATGACATTTGTATTATACGGAAGCGCTTCATTTGGTTCCGCAAATACTCCTGCTCGGGCTTTGAGCATTGTTTGAAATTCCGTTGTTATAGCCTGAGGGGCTTCTATTTCTTTGACACTTGTGAAATTTACGGCTGGGCATTTTAGAAAGTTAATGGTCTCAGAACCATAGTTTGTTGTTAGTTTCTTATTTTTGAAGTCTAATAAAACGTTGGTTTGGTTTAGTAGGTCAAGTCCGATTATACCATCGAATGTCGTGAGGTTTGGTAATAAGAAAAATGTTGTCTTGGTATTAAAAAGGTGCATTATGCATTTCTTGTCAACTACGTTGTGGCCATGGATTGATTTTAATCGAAAGGGTTTTTCTACCGGCGTAATATTTTTTAGTTCTTTTAATGGTCTCACGTAATTCTTTGAGGCTCCGGTATCTATTAGCAACTTTATGGTTTTCCCTGCTATCGTTCTCTCTATGAACGGGAGCAGGGATTTATTCCTAAAAAATTGACCTGGTCGTATTCGTCCAATTCATTGTCAACGTCTTCTGTCTCGGTTTCTGCGATCGCTTGGTATTCGCTATTGTCCTGCTCGTATTCTGTATCTTCTGTTCCTAGGTGGTTAACTCTTTGCTGTTTCGGTCCTGTGAACCGTGCGCTACCGCTGTTTGGTCGTTTGTTTGCCTGTCCCTGGTTATTGTAGTTTTCGTATTGAGTGCGTCGTTGTTGATTTGGCCACTGAGTCTGTTTCGAGAAGGTCGCGTTTTGTTGGTGTTGCGTAGCCTGTCTGAAGCGAGAAGATGAGTCAACGTCCATTGGTTCTACCTGTTCTTGTCGTGGTGAGAATTCTGGTCTTTTGTAGTGTGGGCTTTTTCCTGGTTGGTTGTGTTTTGGGTCTTGAGCTAGAGTCTTGTCTCTGACTTGCTGTCTTTGTTCGATCTTCTGCGCTTTTTCTTCTATACTGCGGGCGAAATTTGTGGCGAACATATAACGTTCATGATTTGACTCAACTTCTTGAGCCAATGCCAATGCAGAGGGAAGATCAATTGGTCTAGCTGAGAATAGGACATCACTTAAGGCCTTCCTGGTTCCTGAGATGAATACTCGCAGGGCGTCTGCTCTATATTTCTCATTTAGCGAAGAGGCAACGGTGGTGTCGTAGGTCATGATTGTCTTATTTATAAGTAAAGTCAGTTTCTTTTCTACCTCGTCGTAGTACTGCAGTAGTGTCAAATTTCCTTGGCGGAGTGTTGACATCTCCTGTTCAATTAAGTATATCGGTCGTTTGTCGGAGTACGTGAAATCTAACCGATTTATAATGGCCTTAAAATTTAGAGGAGTGTCGAAAGAAGAGAGTACCATATCAGCAGCGTTCTTAATTTTGTTTCTTAATATTCCCAAAGCTTGATAATGCTTTGAGCTACCATCGTATTTCTCATATACCTTGTATGCGATATGCGCAGCCTTTCTCCAAGATACATAAGTTTCGCTTTTTCCTTCAAAGTCCGGGAGGGACTTCATGATGTCAAGGGTTTCGTTGCAAATAACACCTATTTTGATTTCTGCCTCCTTGAAAGTTTCTACCTCGGGTGCGCTAACCTGTACTGAATTTATACGTTGTTCAATTTCGTTTAATTTTCTATCAAAGCTATCTTTTGAGCAGCTAAAGCGCTTGCGACTGCGCCTTCTACTATAGCTTTTAATTGATCTGAATTCAAAGCCATTTTTAAATTTTCTGTGTTGTAAATTTTTCGAAAATTTGTTATTAAATCTTGTATTTCACTATCACTCATAGGGCAAGTAAAGACAGGGAATTTTGCGTGCTGCGTTTTTTGTTATTAATAATTAATATTTAAAGGTTGAAATTGTATTTTTATTTGTTTTTACTCCTTAATTTCTTTTTTTGCAATGAACACTCTACTCACATGTTCTTATATTATGTTAGTAGACTGTATGTTGTGTGTTTCTTCGCTGATGAGCCGCTTCGTGGTGGGTGTCTTCGCTGCGTACTGCTTCGTCTAATGCTGCTTTCTTTTTTTCTTTTTTCGTTTTGGTTATGCGTTTTAGTTGTCTTGCTGTTTTTTTTTTGCACTTGTGGGGTATTTATCTCACTGAATGCTTGTTTTAATCGAAGTTTTAATTTCGTTTTTTTTTTTTGTTTTTTGGGTTCGTTTCGGTTGGGCGCCAATTAAGCTTTTTTGCTGTAGTTGTTAGATGTTAGTGTGCGGTGTTGCACAAAATGAGTAGACTTCAATAATCCCGTGGCGACGACCGACGTTCTTTATTATCAAAAATCAACTAAAGTACAGTGACATAAATTCTTATATCCAAAGCTAGCCCTAAACCCTGATTATGCTGACATTGCATATTTACGCGAGGCATCGCATTACTTCGGGCAACAACATTGTTGCGCGTTGGAGCCACTGCTGCTGTTGTGCAATATCCGCTGGGAACGGCTACATTCATGCTGACGGCGCGTGATCAATCTGAACATTTATGTTTTGCTGGTCGATTGTGTTAACTTATATATAGAAATTCATTCAATGTGCCACATGTTTTTGTCCGTCGTTCCTTGTGCTCCCTTCGCAATTTATTTTGCGCACATTTTTCGCTCGTTGCTTTTTGCGCTTCGTTTACATTTCATGGCTGCTGCGCCTCCTTGTTTATCCTTTGATCCTTCTCGCATTGCCATTCGCACCACCGTTCGCATGCCTGTTTTTCTGATTCGATTTTTCACATTTCTCACTGCCTCTCTCTCTCTCACTCACTCACTCTCTGCTGGCGGCAGCGGCAGTAGCAGCATCCACACACACTCACACACCAACACACGCTCAGCTGCTTGTCGTTGCTGCGCTTTGTCTTTCCCATTCAATCAACGAAAATAAAATGTGTGTGCCAGATGATGAATTCGCCTCGTAAGAGAGAATAATGTGTCGCCGTCGCAGTTGCTGTCGCCGTAGCCGTAGCCGTCGCATAACCAAAAATTGCATTTAGCTGCAAAGCAACAACAACAACAGCAGAAATTAATGCTTTTGCGTTTTCCGCTGGCCACAGACAAAGCAAAGCCTTTGTGGAATGTCTGCTGCTCAAATATGCCGCAAAGAGAATAAATATATACATACATATATGTTTATATGTATATATTTATAAATGAATAACGTGAAGACTTATCGCTTAACCAATAACAACAACAACAACGTTCAAAGTGACAACAACATTCGCAATAGATGTTTTTTTTTTATAAACATCATTTCATTCAACTGGAAACTGCGTCTGCCTTTACCTCTGCCGCTCCTCGGGCCGCTGCCCCCTAATAAAAGCGCGTGGCTGTCTCTCATGCCTTTTGGCTGGTCTCTTTTGTCTCGCGTTTGCGCTGTATTTTTCAGTTCGTCTTTTTGCGCATTTTCTGTTTTCGTTTCGTTACGCTTGGCCGCAGCCACAGCGACAGCCACAGCCACCGCTGCCATGCAACATCCTTTGCCCAGTTGGACGGCGAGAGAGAGCAACCCCTAAATAACAATTAGTTTTTCAATATGACAAAAAAAATATCGCCAAATATATGTAAATAAACATATAGAAATATATGTGTTCATATGTATGCATAAATATAAATAAGTCAACGGCGCAGACATTATTCCAAAATTTCGCAATTCGTTAAATTCCGCGTACAAATGTGTTGTGAAATTGTTGTTCAAATATAAATATTATTATTTATATACATATATTCATAATATAATTATTTTCTCATGCATCTATATTGGACTGGATGATGTGATATTCGAGAATCTTTAAACTAATATATGTTTGAAATGTTCAAAAATGTGTTTGCTTGTTTTTTTTTTTTTATTAGTTTTTTGTTTTCTTCTCGTTTCGCATATTTATATAAAATATATATTTTCAGTTCAGTTTAATAATATAGTGAACTGCGACTCCTAAGTGAAACTCACTCCAATTTTAAATTGTGCCAAAAATCTAAATTGTAAATCACATATTAAAAGATAAATGAATGAGTAAAAACCGCACTAAACAAATTCAACAAATGCGACGTCAAATCAAATACAGTGTTAATTAAAATAATAAAAAAAAAAAGTGCAAGAAGAAGCAGCAAGCGTGACTACCCCTGTTTACATAGTGTAGACTACCCCCTGAAAGAAACAGCACACACAATTTGTTGGTGTCAATTATACGGGGCAGCTGTGCACATAATTTGCGACGCGACTGTAAACACAAAAAGCCGTCAAACTGTGGGGCTCCGGGGCATTTTTTCTTCCTCCGCACGGAATGTATTATCCGGTAAGCAAAAAAATAAAAAAAAAAAAAAAAAAGAAAAGTAGACAACCTATGCACATTAGAGTGGACATTATTTGACGACGGGCGCTGCACAGGTCACAGATCCAACCGGCAGCAACAACAACAAACACACACATTACAGTGCACACTATAAATATTGTGACAAGGCAACGAGCAACGACAGCTCAATTCGCCTTGTGTTTGTTTGCTTTTTCTGGCTGCCGTTTTGTTGTTTGCCTATTCTGTCGATGTCGCTGTCTCTGTCTCTCTCACATTCTCCACTTTTTAATCGCCGCCCAAAGAGTTGCTTTTACTACTAGTTTGGCTAACTACCGTTGTTTTCACTCTCAATTGTCGGCGAATCCGAATTCTTAGGCGTGCGTTTGGCTTATTAGACAAGCCTACTCACTCTCACTCTCCCTCTCTCTGCAGCACTCTGGGATTTCTGTTTTCGGATTTGTTTACCTATTTACACAGCCAACAACGACAACAACAACAGCAAATATGTGTGTTAAGCATTGTCTTCACACGTGTGCCGAAAATCTCTCTCGGTTGCCCTCTCCACCTTTGTTGACTCTGCTTCAACTTCGACAAATTTTCTTTTTTTTTTTTTTTTTTTTTTTTTTACGAGAATGAGCGTAAATTGTTTTCACAGTCTTCAGTTTCAAAGGGTATCTGGGAATTTGATAGCCCCATAGTGCGGCTCGACTTGCCGCTGTTGATTCGTTGATATTTTATCAATTTTTTGATATTATACTCTGAATTCCCCCCTATCATTTGATACATTCATGTGTCAACTTTTGGCGCCCGTTGCGCGCTGCTCCCAACATTTTCCCACGTAATTTAAGCGCGCAAAATGTATGCAAATTACATAGATAACTACATATACATATATAAAAGTTTATGCAAATTATGATATACGATAATCTTTCATATTATTAATTTATTTATACTTGATTTTTGCTTGTTTCTTTGCAGGTACGTTCATTCAAATGCAAATGCAAATGCTTGGGTTATTTGGTAATGTTTCGTGATTGATAAGGAAGTTGATAAATGGCTGAATGCGTGAGAGAGTGTGTGTCTGTGTGTGAGTGAGTGCCCAGAGATTGTTATCCATCCATCTATGCGCTTGTCTAGTTTTTTATGATGTCAGCCATTAGACAAAGTTCGTTTTGATCTCTGGCGAAATTAATTGAACTTCTATGACTCGATTATGGCCTACTTAATCAAATGTCGAAAATGTCGAAAACCTGAGCAGTTGGTGTGCTATAAAGTATGTTTATTATATGTCGAGCCCATTAAAATCCAGCTGACAGAGTATAGAACTAATAAATATCTATCTGAAAATCTTTAAAAATGTCACACTTGACGAATATCAAATAAAGAAAACTATTTAGTGTTCTCGATTGATATTTGATTGTCATTTAGATATGTATGAACATATTTAGTGATTCTTTATTATAGAGAATAATGCTAAATTCAAGAATTTATCGTTAATCTTAGACCATTCGTTTAATTAAATACAGATGATTCAGAAATCTACTGCTTAATTTACTTAAAAATATTAATCGCAAACTTGTTATAAAGCAATTAAGATTGTTTAAAGTTTAAGCATTTTATTTTTCGAACTTTTGCAAATGTCATTCCGATTGATTGCGATTGAAAAAGTTAAGCTGACGTCTATCTGTGTATCCGTTCATTCGACCGTCTGTCTGTCTGTCTGACCGTCCGTTCGTATAGCAACGAAATTATTACATTGCGCACATGCAACATTTTATGTGGCAGCTCATAAAGTTATGAGACTCAAAATGTGTATTATTATTAAAAAAAATTGCACAAAAAATATTTACGAAGCGACTATCAAATACTCTTGCAGATTCCTCAGTATAGGATATAAAATTGAATAGAAAATATGCAAATTATATATCTAAAGCTAACGAATATAAAATAGTTTCAGCAGAAAATGTTAGTTTACTACATTGATTTAGATTGATTAAAAACTCAATTTCAAAAGTTTATATTTATTATGATATGTTATTAAAACAGAGGAATACTTTATAGTAAAGTTACCTGATTGGATGGTCTTGGTATTACATACATAGGTTAAAAGCTCAATAAAGTACTCGAAATTGAACTGCTTCAAACTTAACTCGATTTTAAAAGATTCTTTATAAATTATAAATGAATATAATTCATTATATTATAAGAGCTACACCGTAATCCCCTCGGCTTGTTATATTATAATATAAGTTTCATTTAACTACTTTGAGAGATTCTTTGTGACACATATATGATATGAGTATGTACAATAATATAATCGGGTTTAGTGCTATATGTTACATGTTTCATCACAAATTCATAGTACTCCACTTTAAGGGCATTCGCAACTGTGTGGCTTCAAACGAAATCTTCCGGTTCGCCGTTTGTCGGAGTCACAATTGAAAAATTGCGCATAAATTGCATAAACTGTGTTGCCGTAAATTGTTGCGGCGTAGGTTTAGTATGAGTGGTGGGGTGGTTGGGTGGGTGGGTCTATTGGTTATTTTGTAGCCACTACTAGGTGATTCCATTGTGCGTGCGCAGTTAACCGCAAAGTTGGTAAATTTTGCATTTTTTTTTAATGATCAGCGGATCTCGATACCAGCCGACCTTAACGCGCTGTAGGTTTATGACTAGCTTTTATGATATTTGTTTATATCTGATTACGCAATTGGCATTAGCATTAAAACAAATATAAAAATGTAAAAAAAAAAAAAAACATTATCATTGGGTGTTTACGTTGAGTAAAACAAAAAATTACTTTCACTTAATTGGCCAGCTCGAAGGCAGCAGCAGCTGCTGCTTTTAGGCTTTTACTTTTAGGGCATTTATCTAGTTAATGAACAGAATGAGTGGGAGAGTGAGGGAGAGAGCTAGAGCGTTATGGGAAATGTGAAAAATTCTGTCATAATGCAGCGATGCTTCAATATTTTCAATTTGCTTGATTGATGGCTTTAATTTATAAGCATTTTTAAGTAGCACTCGAGCCCCGTTGAGCAGCGAAGCCCGCAGATAAGAGATAGACCATTACACAGCCCACATATTATAACATTCATATACAGTTATACATAAATATGTATGTATATGTATATACAGTATTTTTGTTTATTGCCAGCGCGTCTGTTTTCTATGCCAGCGCAAATGATATGACAATTTATTTCAATTAAAGTTGATTTAAAATTGTTGTGTTGCCTTGCCCCTCGTGTGCTGCACGCTGATTGATGGAAATTGAGAGGGAAGCACGGCGAAGACAAGGCACGAGAAGTGGAAAGAAACCTCGTGGCCTATTGAGATTGTGTGTGTATCTCTCTCTAGATATCTTTGTAAATGGGGGCGTTTTAACAATCAACCGGATGAATATATAATTAAACAGTAGATCTTGCCACAAACTGGAAATTTCGTGCTGTGTCAATTGATGCGCATCTGCTCCATTTCGGAATAGGCTTAGAGTGGAAATCTTGCATAGTGAAAATAGAGTTCTTCTTCTACACCATTTACATCAGTGTCGATATATAAGTTTTCAATTTCCATTTCATTCCGCAATCATCCCTTCTCTTATAAATTTGTCCTCGCATTTATCTGGCCTAAGCTCTAAACTCTTATACGCTTATTCATGTGTGTTTGTGTGTGCACATAAAAAAGACAATAATGATTTGATGTTGGCTAATTCGCGCACATTCGAATCTGAAGGCTCTGAGCAACATTTTGTGGAGCGCTGCTGATAAGGCTCAGTCGATTCGTATTATAATTAAAGTGGGACTTGGGCCTTGCATTCAATGGCTGCAATTGATATCGCAACGATTCGAAATTGAATTTAATTAGCATTAATTTAATGGCGTTAGCATTTTTATATCACTTTGGCCCACAGGCAATTAGGCCTGGCCGCTGCTGCTGCTGTTGCTGTTGCTGCTATTAATGCTAATACATAAGTAATAAGTAATAAAGAATTTGGAATCGATTAGCGCGCATGCTTCGAATTGCAGCACAATCGAAAATAAAATGTGCAAACAAATAAATTAATTTTTGGGAATTCGCTAAAGAGGAATAATACAAGTTTTTCGCATATCTCTAACAAGTGTTCCAGTTACGTCGGGTGCTGGGGCGGGGGCATAAAAGGGTAGCGCGACCGCTAAACAAATCACAACCTACGGCAATGTGAACGACCCACCGCAGCAGCAGTAGCAGCAACAACAACAACAACAGCAGCAGCAGCAGCAGCAGTTTAAGCAAAAAACATCGTCATGCAAATTATTCGGTTCAACTCGCAGCTGCTACGTCGACGCCGGCAGCGACGCTAATCGCTAGTGTCACTCACACGCCGTTTGGTGCGGGCAATTAGCAGAGCGCCGCACGCCTGCGCAATGACTCAGCAGCAGCAGCGACGCAGTCGCAGACGCAACTGAACTGTAACAGGTTTTTTTTTTTTTGCATTCACTGTTGTAGTTGTTGTTGCTGTGCGGCCGTAGCATGAAATGGTAATTGCAGCAGCATTAGCTTTTAGTTCCATTCCATTTTGTTTCATTGCGCGTTCCGCTCTCGATTTCACGCCCACACGCCGCATATTCTCACACACATGCACACACCGACCGCCCCTCACGAACGTTACATTTTATTGCCGGCCCGTTAGTGTCGCCTCAGTTTGTTTACGTTTGTGTTTGTTTTTGTTTTTACACATTTTTCTTAATTTATGCGGCCGGCTTATATTTATGCTCTACCTATCGAGGGTATGATGATTATGACATTAAACATTGTAAATGCAATCAAAGAGGCAGTCGAAGAAGATCTTAAGACATTCTGTTATGAATCTGCATGACAATAGCTAAAGATAATTTCTTATATATACGTATATAATAGATGCATAAGAGTACTGAATCTTCTGCTTCTCATCGTCTTTTATATAGGCTTATACCTATGGATGATGCTTGTGTCATGCTCAAGAGGGTAAATACTTTAGAGTGTTGAGA